CGGCAGCAGTGTTACCATGCGTTATCTATTAAATTGACATTTAAGTTAAATTGTTTTTGTGAGCTTCTTTAAAAGAATCTTTAATCTGAAGATAAATTTTCAGTTTTGGTAGCGTTGTGACTACTACAACACAGGTGTATGTCTGGGTGTATGCAGTTTATAATTAATATTGAAAATCGTATTAAAATTTTTTATGTTTTTTAAATGCTATTTTTAAAAAATTAAAAATAAAATCCACAAAATCTTATAAAAAAAAACAAAAAAAAATATTTTTCTTTTTGAGATGTAAGAAAATTATAAAAATTTTTTTTTTATCTTCCCGAAAACGATCATTAAACACAATAATCCTCTTTAACATTTTTTTTGTTTTGCTTTTTTTCGAAAGTGTTAACATAAAAAGTGAATTTCAGATTACAGAAAATAAAAAAAAAAAACAAGAATATAATTAGAAAGTGTAATAAACTTTCTTTAATTACATTACAAAAAAAACATTTTTGAACTATTTTTGTAAATTCATACTTTTCGAAAGTTTCTTGCATAATTTAGAAAAAAAAAATAAATTTCATTTAAATATTCCAAGTATTTTCGAATTTTATTTAAGAAAAAATGAAAATTTTTCAGTTGAATATTAAAAGTGAAATGTTTTTAATCAATGAAAAATTTTACGATATTAAAATTTTATAAAATTTTTACGATAAAACCGAATATGTTCCAAAGTATATTCGAATTTTATTTAAGAAAAAAATGAAAACACTAAATACTTTTTTAATCAATAAAAAAATTTACGATATTAAAATTTTACGAAATTTTTACGGTATAATCGAAAAATCATGTTCGCTCCGAAAATAATTGACTATGAAATATTTGCATTAATAAAAAATCACAAGCTTCGGGAAAATTGGCCATGCATCCTTGTTGTGCAGAACGGCACGCAATTACCAATATTGTTACGGTATTAGAACATTATATTAGAACTGGTATAAATGATTTGTAAAATAAGTATTGTAATATAAATATTTATAAGAAAAATTATAAGAAAAGACACAGATATAGCTTAGTACTCAAAAAAGTAATTTTCGCGATTTTTTTCTCCCCTCTCCTTTTTGCATTTTCTTTTCTCTCTCTTCTCTTTAAATTTATTTCTCTACTCTTTAACAGCTTTCTATTTGAGATCTATATGAAAGTTTCTGTCATAAAATATCTTGTCAGTGAGCAGAAATCTTGTAATTTCGAATGATACTGATTTCTGGGTGCTGGACTTCACGAATAACATTAAAAGTTTAAAAAATTTTATACCCACTCTTTAAGAAGCTGTCTTTTTATTTTCTGTTGAGCATATTACTTTGTTCTTCGTCTCCATTACAAAATTATATTGCAACACTCAAATTTATTACTGGCTACTGAATTACCGCAGCTGTTTATGTTCGTGCAAACTCGTGTGTTTGCGGAGAATTTCCCCTTTTTTCTTCTAAATCAAATTAATAATTTGTATGTAGTATCATATTAAATACCTTTGTCCTACCGTTAATCAAATATTATAATAAAAACCAATTTCATTGCATGCACATACTTTTTTTAAACCATTTCATGAAACCTCAACAGTCAAACTGTGTATACAATATACTTAACATGTTTGAGTATATCATAAACCTTATATTATTAAAATTTAATATAAAATTGCAATTAAATAATACAAGTTTTTCATTTAATATTGTGAAAAAAAAATAAATAAAAAAAAATTCAATTCAACTGCATTTAAAAAAAAAAAATATAGGTATTAAAACTCAATAAAGAACTCCTTAAGGTGCTATACTAAATACACATTCATACATATAATAAAATATACTATTCACGATTTTTTAATATCCTTGTGCTTGTGTACATATAAGCTATAAGAACTTCCAATTTTATAAGAAGTGACATAAATGACTTGGTACCTTTTATTTTTTTTATATTTCACACGGCTATACAATAATGTTCAAGTAATAAAAATCCCCGGAGTAAATACAAGCAAAACACAACTAAAAATTTATACTTCCTCTGACTTCCTGACTGCAATTCTATATATATATACATGATTATATATCAAATTAAATTTGAAAAAATTTTATATTGCAACATTTTAAATATTTACCGAGAAAAAAAAATACTCGGAAAAAAACCTTAAAATCATGCTAGTTTAAAAAAAAATAAAAAAAAAAAGTTCAATGATTTTTATAAAGAAAAATCTTTAACAAGTATTAAATTTAAACTGAAATGGAAAAAAAAAAAAAATAGAAAAAAAAATCCTAACTACTTTTGTAACACTTAGTGAAATGTCAATTTTTGAAAAAAAATTTCGCCTCATACAAAATAACAATAAAAAAAAACATGAAAATAAATTTTCTTTTAAACATTTTTGTCTTTTTAAGGGACTATAAAAACTGAAGAACAAATTTCAAATATTATTTATGAATTTTAAAGAGTCTGTCCGTTTTTCTAATTGAAACGTAAAGTATTTTAAGTTGATTTCGATTTAAAATTATTCGGAAATCCGGGCTACATCGTTTTGCCAAAAAAAAAAAAAATCGGAATTCGAAACATAATTCGGAGTAAAATTCGGAATTGAAATATAGTATATCTAACTATAAAATTCTTACTTTGAGACCAATTTTACTGGAAAAATCAAACAAAAAAAAAATTTCGGAATTGAATCTTTATTCGGAGTAAAATCCGAAATTAAAATAAAGTGGAGCTGAAAACTATTTTTGATTTTATTTTCTCCAAACAATAGAGCATTAGAGTTTTACAATTTATATTTAATAATATCTCTTCGTTTCGTAAATTAAATAGGGAGCGAATTAAATTCTCTCTTTATTTCACTACTAAAAAAGGCACTTCTACACTCTTACTGTAGAGCATCACATGAAGAGTAGTTACGTATTAATTAAAGTTTTTACTTCAAAAACAGTTTCATGTCAACTTTTGCAATTAATTTTAAAACAATTTTAAAATATTTTAGGAAATATCCTTTAAATATTTTGTTAAACGAAATAAAAAATATACTCTCACTATTTTCCACACTATTCTAACATAGATTATAGTTTATTTCTATTGCATACACATATGAAGTTACTTTTATGCCAGTATTATAGTATTGTAACTAACGTTTTCGTTCCAAAAATTATATTTGGAAATTCTATATAAAAAGAAAATCATTTCTAACCTATTTCATACGAGTTACCGTTATTATTTTATTTCATTTCTCTTTTTCTTATTTTCTCGTTTCATTTTAGGAAAAATGAAATATTTTCTAAATTGAATTTTATTTTTTCTTGTAATGCAATTTTTATAAATTATTTGCTTGTATTTTTGTTATATGTATGTATATAGAATAAGTACATGGTGAAATTCAGAGATGTCACTTTTTTTAAAAATATGAATTTTCCAAAATTTTTCGTGTAAAATATAATTTTGCTCCAAAGAGTAAATAACATATTTGAAATGAGTACATTATTAAATATTAAATTAAAATTTTAATTTTTTTGCAAAATATCGACTTATAATCAAAACTAGCCACTAAACAGCGGCAGTGCTTTCGACTCTAACGTATATCTAACGTTACGACCCTATGCAATTTTAGTAATTTTCACTGTAAGCTCCTGATTTTTTGTAGAGAATTTCTGTTCTACTCAAGCGTTTAAAAAATATTTTGTAAAAAATAATAAAATTTTTAAGATGTCGAATAAAAAAAAAAATTATCAAAAGCTCATTACGTTAGATTTTTTAATGTCACCTGTAACTTAAAATGTTACGACAATAACAATAACTACTTGAAAAATTTTACTTTAAGTACTCAATAAAAGCAAAAATAATCGTGAATTTTGTAAAAATAGACGAAAAAATCAAGTAGTTTTGAATTTATATTTTTTCTACATATTAAAAAAATTAATTTTACGTCAGAATATAAACATTTTTTAAAAATTGAAATATAAAAATTTTTGAAAAGGAAATCATAAAATTTTTCTCCCAAAAATAAAATTAAAATTGAATATTAAAAAATTTCAAAGAAATTTTATTAACAAAACTAACAAAATATTTTTTATTAAAATTCGTAAAAATTGAAAAATTTAAAAAGGAAATTTTAATTTTTTGAAGCCTCTATGATTCCTCATGGAAAAATTATCAATTCAAGCAGATTGGATTCCATAAAAATTAAAAAATTTTGGAAAAATTAAAATATTTTCAATTTTATTAAGAATTTTGAAATTAAAGGTCTTAAATACCGAACAAAATTGAAGAAATCGAGATGAAATTCATGAAATACGAGAAAACAAAAATTCGAAAAGTGGACAGCCTTAAGTCTAATTTTTGAAAACGTTTCCATTTTAGAACCGTTGCAATTTAAGGTAGAATTAGTGCTAAAATTTAAGAGAAATTGCTTTAATTTTAAATTGTTTCACAAAATTTCCATTAACCCAGATATTTGAAGAGAATCAACAATAATTATTGGTGTCCTTTATTTCAAATTTATTCAAATATAAAATATAATAATGAAATTTTATGTTATTTGTCGAGTAAGTGTTAGTACCCATCTTTGGAATAATAAAATTCACCCAGAAAAAATTAAATGAAATAAGGGAATAAGTTACAGGAAAATGTGTACAAAATGTTATGTAATTCTCTCGTAATTCTCTCTCTCATTCTTTTCATTGTTCCTTTTGTTTTAAAATAGAAACAAAACGATGAATAAAAAAAATTTTTTGTTCATTTTTTGTTTTTTCGGTTGTTGTACAACCGAGTACTCTAGTTTTACTTTTATATTTTTTATACTTACAATTTTTTTTTTTTGAAAAAAAAAAATATCTTTTTAACTTTATTTCATATTCGGCGTATATTTAAATTTTTTTTTGTTATTTTGGTAGTAAAAAAACACCAAAAATACCAAGAAGAAAAAACAAAAATTTTATTTTTTTTTTTCTCAATTTTGACTACATTTTTACATTCTCATTCATTTACAGCAACATGCAAAACTCCTTTGGGTATGGAATCTGGTGCTATAGCTGACTTTCAAATTACTGCCAGTTCAGCACATGACATGGGAAATGTTGGGCCACAACATGCAAGGTATGTAGATTTTTTTTTATGTAATTTATAATTTTTTTTTTTTTTTTTGGAAATTTACTACATATTATGAGAGCATAGCATGTACATATGAATGTGTATACAGAAAATATAAAAAAAATATACAAGTATACCTGTTTAAAATATTAGGAAATTACATATGCATAAAATTCTAACAAAGTAATTGTATACCCCTATATTATAAGTTGGTTATACAAGAGTGTAAAAAAAATTTGTATGTAAAGTACAAAATTTATGATTGTTAAACTCAACAGAAATATCCAATTTATTATGGTATACAGAGATTTGTAAATTTTTTTCTTGTTATTCTTATTTTTATTCTTATATAAAATTAGAAACCAATTTTAAATATTTTATTCCAATTTTGTTTTTTTTTTTTGTGATATTTGAAATATTTTCAAATTTTATTTGAAAAATTATAAGATTCTTTTTTTTTAAATTAAAAAGCTTCTTATTTCATTAGCTTGTAGCAGTAGGTATACTTGAACAAAGGAGTACCTATATGCTACTTATTCAATGAGCTATATTGTATCTATTAATTTAACTTATATGTTTAAATATTGAAATAATGAAAATGAATTGTTACAAAGTGTACTGTTATGGCAATATTTTAAATATTGATATTTGTTCCGACATTTGTCTTTGTTCCGATGATATATATTTTCGGAATAAAACTCAAGTTTTTGTTATTATAAGTAGAATTCGGGATTAAATGTTGGGAGAGAGTGTCACACAGTAAATGTTCTGTCGTCTTATGCTCTACTAGACAGAAACGGCATAGCCCACTCTCCACCTTACCCATCCCTTTTAGGTGGATCATGGGAAGATAGTGTTCAGCGAACATCCCAACTAACAGTCTCAAATCTGGACGGCCTATCCCGATCAGCTTCTTCCCCTGCGTTTTATGAGGAGTTATTAAACTCTTTGGAGTGAGTCAACCCTGTCCATTAACCCCACTAATTATTGATTGTGTAAAGACGGTTGTTTTTAGCACTCCTCCTCATTTTGCACAAAACTTATTGTCTTGACATGAATCCATTATTTATAGCCGCCATGTCGAGGTCATTTCAACGCATTCCCTTATTATAGTTCATCCAACATCGAACGAAGGAGTCCCAAGAACTGCATTACTGTTCTATAATATCAGATCTACCCTACTGTGGGATTTATTCTGTGTCTGCTGAAGCTCCTTCTAATACACTAAATTTAGCTTAAATCACTTGCTTTCAATTATATACCCTTAATAATATTGAATTCACCTCAAATCTGAGATTTTAAACGCGTTCGCGGCACCTATTTTTACCAGGCAAATTTTACTTTCACCACGCAAGCTTGAATTTTGCCACGCAAGCTTAAATTTCACCACGCAAGCATGATTTTCTTTTGACTCTTCGTCGATTAAATAATCTTATAGCTGTTTTTTTGAAATTTTTGAACTATTTTTTATTCGTGTACTTTTTAATTTATTTTAGCAATAATATTTAAATATGAGAATCTACGTAAATTTAATCCATGTGTGTCTGCACATTTATACTATTTACGTTATACGTCTCTATAATCATATATATATATATATATATATATATATATATATGTGTATGTAAATAAAAATATATATTTATGTATATATGAAAAGGACTTCAGTCAGAATTTCGTTATACTTTGAAACTTTTATTAATTAGGTTTGGAATAGGTGTACCACAATATATAGAAGATTTTTTTTTTCATCTTTTGTTGTTATTCTTGTGTTTTGTGTACTTGGATTACAAATTTTTTGAAAAATTTCAAGTTTTTTTTTTCTCCTGTTTTTCTCTCTTTAGTAAAGATTGTGTAAGAGAAATTGAGTGAGAGAGGGTTGCAGGGATGATGAACCTTTTCACATTTTCTCTGTGAATTTATTTTTCTTTTTTTCTCTTGTTATGTTTTGGTTTAAAATTTCATTGGTTTTACAAAATAAAGGATTTGTTTTATAACTTTTTTTTGTTGCTTTTTTCTGCTTACGTAGCATATTTTTCTTCTTTCTAAATTAATGGACTTTAAAAAAAAAAAAGTAAATTTTTTTTTATTTGGTTCAAAGTTTATTTATTGTATGTACTTTTTATCTTAGAAAATAATTTAATAACTTACACAGTACCATAGACACACAAACAGGCACACATGTAGGTAAATATATTATGTATGTTTGTTTGTATAATGTGAATGTGTGTAAAGCATACATTAAATTGATTTAAACTAATTTGAAATCGGAGCAAACCAAACAGGCCAAGGAGATGAGAATTTTTTTTTTTGTTTGTTTTTCTGAAAAGAACCATTTGTTTCCCAAATAGTCAATAGAAATAAAGTATATTTTTTTCCCCAACTTTTTTTGTATAAAAGATAACAAGAGTATGTTGTATCCTTTTTAAGTTTTTTTATTTTGTATGCAAGTTGCTGAAATTTTCACTAGTGTACAGGAAAAAATTGCAATTATTAAAAATCTTATACTAAATTTGTTATAGAGGTTTGCCATTCAGACTGCTACTTCAGCTACTACTCGTACAAAATGCGCTTTTTCTCTTAAAAAAAATTTCTAAGAATTTGGAATGAGAAGAAATTTAGATCTTTTAAAAAATGTTATACATGTGAAGGTTTTAATAATATAAAAGTGCGGTTGTGATATTTCAAGAATTTTCGGACTAAATTTTTTTTTTTGGTTTTATTTTTTAAAAAGAATTTTTTTTACTATACTTAGCATAGAAAACATCATTATTACTAGTTAGATTGAAAGGATAATGAAATACGTTGAAAGGATAATAGAATATATGTAGTTAGAAAGATTCAATTATTGACCTAATTTTGAATTTGACTTACGTACCTATACAGCATGTATTGACCACATTACAGAATTAGATACTTTAGAAATTATTTAATAATAAAAATTATGTTGAAAATAAGGTAGAATTGTGGCCAAAATTATTTGAATTATTAAAAAAATTATTTAATATAATTATATTTTATGAATTTATTTGAAGAAATTTCAAAAGGTTGAGGATTATATGAATAAAATTTTATAATTAACGTGTTAACATTTAATCTGAGCAAAATTCTCTAAAGAGAATTTGAGAAATTTTGAAAAAAAAATTCATGAGAAATTGTCGGGACAAAAAAGTAAAAAAAAATAAAAGATGAGGAAATTGGAATTTTCCCAAAGCCCGAATACTTGTATTTGCGAAAAAACATCTAAAACCTGTTGTTCTTTGCTAAAAGCTCTCTTAAAGCTCTTTTAAAGACTTGTTGTTTGAAACTTCTATCTTCTTGGAAGCGAAAGTTATCAGCAAAAATTCTTAAGTATATTAAAATTTTGCCAAATTTTCCTAAAATCTCTGCAGCTCAGAAACGGTTTCGATTTAACACTATGTTCCGAACAAAAATTTTACTCATTTTCAACTCTCTACTCGGGCTTCTAACTTGTAGGTAAATCAAACTGCATATACCTGCTCTATTCCGGCTAGCATTATGAATATTATTTAAATTTTTCACATTTATTTTAAATTAATTTTAATAAAATTATTAAATTTTTCCTCTTTTTATTTTATTGCTAAAAGGATAATTGTTAATTTGATGTTATCTGATATTTCTGATAATATCCTGTACATATATGTAGCTTTCAACTTTTCACAATAAATTTTCTCTTTAGTGATATTTTCAAAGTGAGTTCATATGAACACGCATCAATCATTTTCAACTTATTATAAAAATATTTAATTTATAAATTAAATTTAATTATTTAAAATATTATTGATGTTCTTTATTGGTTTATAATTATATCGGAAATTGAAAGCAAGAATTTATTTTTTTTTTAAATTTTAAAAAAAATTTTATATTGAAACATACATTCATATGTTATGTTTGTATGTGTATATTGACATAAAATAACATTGAAAATTTAATAACTTAAATTTTTAAGACTATTTAGAGTGTGTCTGCAGCAAAAATAATCAAAAAATATTTACAAAATTAAATATTCATATTAAAGCGTCTGTGATTGTAGATAGATTTCAGTAGATTGGTATACCCAATGATATTTATGTTTATAACATATTGCCGTTTCAAACAGGCTTTAAGTATCATTTCTCACATAATTCTTCACATAAATAACGTTCCAAATGGCGATATAATTCTAATTCTCAAATTAACTTTTGTATATAAAGATCATTACACTTAGGCATATGTTGAGTTCTTCTTTATTTTATTCAGCTATAACACTTTGTTTACAACTTCAAAAAATCACTGAGATTATATAACATTAAAATAAATGAAAAGAGAAATATTTAAAACTGAGAGAAAATTGTCGTTTAAAAATGCATAATAAATACTATTACCAAGAGAAAGAATTTAAAAACGAGCTCTTATTCTTTATTGAATATCTCTAATATTTTTCTCAACCCCATGTTAGATCAACCCCGGGTAGGTTACGGTCCAGAGGTCTTTATGACTTAGATGTATTTACCCGAATATTAAGCATATTATTCTGAGGCATCTATTGACAAATACTTGCAACTTCTGTCTAAGAAATTTTTATGTTAATTTTTAACAGGACCGTAGTATTCCAAGTATAATAGCTCTGGATAACAACACGCTATTCGATATCAGTTGCAGTCTTCCAAATGCTGTAGTTTATTTGTTGGCTATTGACTGGTTGCGCTGTTGAAATTTATTTTCATCGCCTTAGTTTTATCTATATTTATTCGTAAGTCAACATCTCTGGCCAATCGTAGAAGGTGTTCCAGTTTATTCTGCATGTAACTAATTCTGTGAGAGTGAAAGCAGATATCATCCGCTTAAAACTAATCTTTTAGGTGTTGGGTGAGATTCCAAATTATGCATTTTCTATCCGGTCTTAGAAGATTGGATGGTCTAACACGATTGGATGGTGACTGGCTCTTTTATTTTTTCTTCAGGTATTGTCACAACCTCAGGTTCTTCGTGCAGATTATTATGTC